TTAGGTAGGTCCTAAAACGATGGTGAATCACCCATTTCCAACTCTTTTGACTGACCAAATCGTGCTCAAACTGATAGTGGAACACTTCTTCTACACGTATGCATCGGTTGGAACCACCAAAACGCATTGGAAGACGCGTTTCATTAAGGGCAAAGTTAGAAGAAAACCAGTTTTTCTGCAGGCTTCCTAGGCGCCTAGCGCCTCCCATGATGTTTTTTCGTCTTTTTGCTTCTTTTGATTAATTTCCATTCCCAAATGGTCCTAAAATGTCATAAATACAATATAAGCCAACCACAAACCATAATATATGAATTTTGCATGAATTGGAACTCAAACGACCGAGAAAAATCCGAAACAAAGTTGAAACATAGTAAAAACAGCATCTAAAACCTTCTTTTTACGCATGTAAACAAGCGTAATCACCCAGTGTGCCCAGGAGATCCGAAAACCTGGACTCATGCGTCTCGTCATGGGCCTAGTGTCAGATTCAGGGTCGAGACAAGGTAAACTCGAGTCAAGCTGTACGGGGGTTAGGAGAGAACCATCGGGGTTTCCAACTTGGGAGGCCAAGAACTCTTCGGCACCAGGTTTGCTTTGGAACCGAGGCCTGGTCGGCGCAGAGCAGTGACCAGCCCTGGTGGCCGAACCTCGGTCTCCTTTCCTTGTGAACCCAATCCTTCCTCGGCCCAACTTCTGTCTCTTGTTCGTTCTCTCTAACCTCGCCTTATCTTCCTATAACAAGTTAAGAATTCAAATGTATTTGTAAGAATTGTGAGAAGCATACGAATGAGTGGGAGTAGACATAACTTTTAAAAACAAAAAGCTAAAAACGAAATCATTATCACTGTTGTGGATAACATATGTCACTTACATACATACCTTCTTTTACCTTTTGGCTAATACTTGAGTTACAGCTGTAAAAGGACTAGCCTATTAGCTATATTAAGCTAGCTAGACATGTGAGTTTTGTACTTCTTTTTCTTTTTCCCATAAAATTGTATACTCCAAGAACCTCAGTTAGCACAGTGGATGTGGATCCTACGGGATTGAACAACTATAATCAAGTTTGTCA